TAATCCCAGCAACTTGGGAGGCTGAAGCAGTCTGGGCAACTTAGCAACACCTGGTCTCAAAATAACATAAAATGAAAAGGTCTGGGGATGTAGTTCAGTGGTAGAGTATCCTGGGTTCAATCCCCAGTATCTATGTATCTATAAATTTATATTAAAATATATATATATATATATATATATATATATATATATATATATAAACAAGCAACTCCTTCCCCCCAAAAAACCCAAACCTTCATTCTTCTGTCATTAAAATAATGTTTCTTTTTTCTTTTCTTTTTTTAAAGAACAGGCATCCTCTTAGTGTTGGTACATTTCTAGCTGAATTTAGCTAAGTGTATTTTCCCGCCAAAATACCCTTTTAGGAACAACTACAAGTCGGAGAGATGGTAAATACAGAGGATGGGCAAAGTTATACACGTTATTTAACAGGAATGTGCAGAAATGTTAAAGCAAGCCATTGARTTTTTAGTTTCAATAAGTTCTTTGAATAAATATATAGATCAAATTCCTATATTTTTTGTAATTATAAATCAAAATGATATACAGAAAAAAAATACTAGACTGATTAAAAACAGAGTACTGATGAAATGAACAAAAGGTAACCAGTTTATTTACTGGAAAAAGTTATGCATTACACAATATTCAGTCGTTAACATAAACCAAGGTATAAGAATCGATATATCGGCTTCTGGTTATTTTCTTAGCATCGGAGTGCCTTTCCCAACCATTGAGTGTGTGATCAATTACACGAAAACAAGCACAGGGTGTAGGAATTCTCCCATGAGACATTCACTTAAGATTGTCTACAATAAAAAAATAAGAAGGACAAGCAATAATAAATACATAAGGATTTTTTTTTCGAATTAAGAACAAATGCATGTGTCTGAGAATGTTTCCTTTGAAATTTGAATTTTTAAAAATAATTAGCAAACAGAAGTTCCTTAGATCAGTCATTTAGTCATGTTTCCATATGGTGTTATTAGGTGGAACACTTCACATCATTTAACCCCAAAAGGCATAATAAGAAACTGTAATTAAATGTAGGAGAAAGCTAAATCGCTACAACAATAATCAGACAGTGTACAAATCAGGGTTGGCCACGCATGACACAAATGTAAATACTGGAAAGAAATACAATGTAGGAATCATGTTTGGTTCACTGTATATACGTAATCATGCAAATAAAAACACTGAGTAGATTACAAAAATGTCATAAAAGATTTCCAAAGAATTGTTGACTCTAACAGTCAAACCATTGAGCTTAAAAATTCTGTGGTGACAATGTTAAAACGATGCATTTCCTCTATGACTTGCTATGCAACCATATCTATGAATCCAACATTCACTCTGTGTCTTCATTGTCACCAAATAATGATTTTTTCAACATAGTGATGATATATCCTTTTACTTTATAGGTCTCTGATCTTCGTTTTAAAGTGATTTTTTTAAAAATACCAATGGCATTCTTTTTTTAATATTTATTTTTTAATGGTAGTCGGACACAATATCTTTATTTATTTATTTTTATGTGGTGTTGGGGATTGAACCCAGGGCCTCACCCGTGCTAGGTGAGCACTCTACTGCTGAGCCACAACCCCAGTCAACCAAAGAGATTTTTTTTTTTAAAAGAAAGGCATACACTCACACTAAAAAAAAAAAAGTCAACACACAAGTTTACTTCTCAGTGTTTTGATTAGAGTCATGATTACCAGAGAATAATTCTGAAAGGAAGAAAAGTTAAAATAAAAATAAAATCTCAACACATGTTGTACAGCAATTAAAAGCCAATTTCAGAATTAATCTGGATCTGCAGTTTATCCAGGCTTCAGATTAAATAGGGCAAAATTTAAATAACTCCAGAGGAAAGGGATAAAACTACATTAAAGAGTAGAGCCATGCATTTCAATATGGAAAGGAGACCAGGTACATGTGGCAATCTCTTTACATTCCTAATGGGGAAATCGCAGGAGAAATAAGACTTCTAGAGTGTTCATATCATGGATATGGGAAGGCTTACACGGTGTGAACTATCTCATGCAAACATCTTACACTGTGTACCTCTAGCACCCTTGTCTTACACTAACAGTAGTTTATTTCTTCTCCTCTTTTTTTTTTTTTTTTTTAAACAGAACACCATTTGTAGAAAATTTTCAGCTGGGGAACATACCTTAGCACTAAATATCTCTTTCAAGTACACTTTGAGTAATAGGATGAAAGAGATGTCTAGATGAAGTCTTTCAGGTGTTAACAGAGCTAGGCTACAAATGCAATACATCAGGGACTATGGTAGTAATGTTGGCATCAAAATAAAGATGAAATTGAGCTGGGGATATAGCTTAGTTGGTAGAGTGTTTGCCTTGCATGCATGAGGCCCTGGGTTCAATCTCCAGCACCACACATAATAATAATAATAATTAATAATAATAATAAWAAAAATAATAATAATAATGTCAGACACAATCACCTGGGAGCATTATTACAGAGGATGGAAGAAGTCACTCGGGAGTAAGCTTGTTCTCATATGTCAACACAAATTGATTTTAAGGAGGTAAAAAACGATTTTTCAGTAGCAGCACTGATCATGCTATCTATCATGATTTCAGTTTGTTGGCTTTCTAGAAAATTATGTTCCCTTTATTTGAAAACATATTACTGTAAAGTTTTTGTGATCTTAAATACATAATTATTTTAAATCACTCTGATTTATAAACAACAATAACAACAAAAAACCAGAGAGTGAACTTTTAAAAATGGAAACTTCACCCCAAGAGTTTCTTTCAAATCTAGGTCTAGCTACAATATCAATGTATTTGTGGCATCCCTGGGTTGAACCAGTACTGTTCCTTCCTGAAAACCTATTAGCTTCTTCTGATTTCTTTCTCAGAGATGCAATTATATCTTTTGGCTGACTGGAGCATGACAATGAAATGTGACATTCTTATTTCAGTAGAAAATATATTTTATTCCTTCATTTTCTTGTTTTGTGATCTCCACTTAAGAACTGGAGAGGATTTTATTTAATTTATTTTTTTAATCAGGAAATTCCCACATCTTGGCTATTTGTTGGACCACTGTTTCAGGCTTTTCAAAATAGCAGGATTTATCTGTTGTATTTCCATAGGATAAGAAAAGCTTGAAGATCCTTTTAAGTAAAGATAAAATTCAAGAGGCATTTGTTTCCCCTGAGGGATCACATACCTTTTCTTTCTGAAGTATTCCTGAGGGCATTTGTTTTTTAGATTCCAAAAATTGAGGCTTTTTGTGGCAAAACTGCTACATTCTAGATAACTTTAAAGATATTATGAAATATAGCTGGGAGGAAAATTAATACCAACAAAAATTTTTTAAGCCAAATATCTTGGAGAAAGTAAGATTACTWTCTTATTTCAAGGGATTAAATACTTTATGACTATCAGTAAAACTTTAATGTATTTTAAAAAAATAAAAGATTCATGGGATTATAGCCTCCTACAATGATAACACATTATTGTAAGATATTTTAAAATATTTTGCCACTTAACGCTCTCTAGATCTCCAACAATATTAACTTTAAAAAAACATATCTTTTTTATGATTATCAATTCCAGTGATGAATTTTCCATTGTAAAATCCTTCTTCCTAGAATTAGTATAAATCTTTCACACTGAAGAATTTCTTATTCTAGCCTTAGTGATATCTATCACTTGCTAAAATTTCTCTTTTCTTGAAGATCACTGTTGTACATGCTCTCCTTGAGCTACATAAAGTATATCTAAGTCTTAACTGTTTAAGAATTTTCTGTTTTTGCAAAGTTCCCCAAAGTCCCTTTTTTGGAATCCAGAACTGTATACATGAAAGGAATCTGATAAAATGTGAGTTGATGGGAAAGTATCCAAGGTTTTTTATGCCCCTGAGCACTTAGGCCAAAGGCAATTTATTGCTCCTTTTAATTTTACTGATATTTTTTAGTTAAGAAAAAATCTCTAGTAAGAAAGCATTTCTGCATACTAACACTATTCTTTTCAGCATTGTAATTGTGCTTCCTTTTTGAAAAAATTACTTGGGCCAGGAGTTCAAAACCAGCTGAAGAGCAGAGACCCCATCTCATCAAAGCCAAAAACCAAATAGAAACAAAACTTCTACTTGGTTATTCTACTAAACACTCCTGCTAGATTTCTTTCCATCTTTGCTCATCGTGTTTACAACACTTAGCCAGTATCTTTAGTGTATTTTTTCAATTTAGTTTTCCTCCCCAAACATGTCTTCAATTGGTAAGATTCATCCTTTTGGGTTTTCACTAGTTCTTCACTTTTTCGGTTTCCTTTTGGATCCTGGTATTATCTTTACAGGTATTGATTCTTACCAACACTACACATATTTATTCATTTAAAATGCCTATAAATAAATATAAATATGGCTCAATTTAAACTATACCAACTAATGCCACATTGTAAATACATGGTATTCTCTCTTACTGCTTAGGAACTACCACTTAATTTTGTGCTGAAAGTGAGAAATTTATTTCCAAGTTTCTAAATCTTCTTGACAAAGTTCCACTAAAATTAGTATTTTGTAGTTAAGACTTCAAAGCAAGCATTTTCCTCTCTATTTGGATAAAGAACTGAAATAAAACTAGTTTATGATAGGTTTCATATTTGAAGAAATGAATGTTCTGTATATGACTCACTTTTCCCTGGGACCTAAATCTAGAATAAGGGAATAAAAATGAATGCAGCCCTGGTAACAGGACAGTTGTGTGGTTACACAGAACCAAGATCGACTGCTGAGTTCCCATCTAACCAGACAAAATCCATGAGACAAACAGAAAGACGTTCTGAGGTACTCGTTAAAAAAGGCATGTTTTCTCTCGCACAAAGTCAACTTAGCAGCTATGCCACTTTTCAGGTCCAAACACATGATGCTTGAAAAAGGAAAAGTGTGTGTGGAGGCGGGGCAAGCATTCTTGAACCACTCTAATAAAATCCACACTGTCTCACTAAGCCTGGTAGCAGGCAGATGAAACAGCAAGGGAACACGGGTAGGATGGACCATGTTAGGTGACTGTGACTAGGGCTTTCATGAAGATCTGTTTTGTTTGTTTCTGTACTTGAACCTGAATCTCTCTTTTGGTGAAGATTTCGACTATTTATCCCAAGTTGCATAAGAAACGACTGTTGAAAATAGCACTTAGAGAAGGAACACAAAACCTCCTGGTTGCTTTGGTAATAATGACCACTACTTATCAGGCAAGTGACTGACAGAGGCTCCTGCAATGTGCTTAATGACTGACAGGTGGGCCTTGGATGGACCCCTCTATGAATGTACCACCCACTTCCACTCAATAAGCTCCTAAACCTCCACTGCTAGTGTCCTGCACCGTTATCTGTCCTTCACGTTAACAGCCGGACTGTGTCTGTTCTGAAGAGAAGTTACATGAAAAGGTGAAACCCTTATGGTTGTAAATTAGTTAAGGCTACCTGACAAAGACAAGGAATCAGGGCTAGGAGCAGTTATGTGGGCAGCACTTGAGAATTAAGGAGCCCTAGTGTTAGACCTTTCAGCTCAATTAGCTGTTTCCTTGTTTGTCAGATTATGTGCAAAATAAATTTTGCTGTGAAAATCCACTGCCTTAAATCAAGTCATAAAAGTTACCTAGCAGAATCTGTAAATGAACTAGGAACATGTCTTATCTCAATATAATATAATGATTGTAGGCACCTGAGTGTTTGTCAAAAGTAGACAATGAGCTAAGGTTTATTATCTATTTGTTTTTTGGCAAGGAAGATTCATTATGAAAAAACCTAACAACAACAAAACATACAATTTTAATCAAAATCTGAACACTTTCTGGTAAATTAACTAGCCATAGCTACCTTACATCTATGGATGTATATATTTTCTCCTTTGTTCTTGATACCTTTTAGCAGGAAAGACCCATAGTAGGACCCTGAATTTGGAAGAAGTTTAAAAAAAAAAAAGTTCTGCTCATTTAATAAACACATCATTTTTTTTCCTTTCAGGTTGTTTAAGCCTTCTATAACGTCATCACACACGTACACACGTACAAAGAAGCAGCACCAATACATCTACTCAACTGCAATTTTAAAAAATTGAAGATGCCATCAAAACTTGAATAAGTCAATGAAACAAAATTTAGTCTCTTTCTTAGATTTACTTAATAATGTCCAGTGAAGAAATCTACTTTAAAAAAAAAAACAACCAGCAGTTAATGAGCTACAGATTAGAAAATAAGTGCATAAATAATCAGTGTAGCAGCAAAATACAGTAATTGTTAACATTCTGATGCACCACATTTATCATTTTGTGCAAGGAAAACGACCACAATCTGGCCAAGTCCAGATTTCAAACTCAATTAAAACTCATATGTAACTGAGCAAATTATGCTTCTTTGAAAATAAATGCATTAAATTCACCTCTCACAGATATTATTTTTACAGACATAAATCATGTAGCAAATAAAGTACAAAATAAATATCAATGACCGAAAAATATCAGAATCAACTTCTATAGCTGAATTTGGAGCATGAGGAAAGATGATTTTACAATATACGTATTTTACATCGTCTGAGGTCTCTCTTATGCTATCGAGGTAAGCCAGCCATCTGAGATGCATATTTCATGTTTTTTTTTTTTTTATTTTTGAAATTTAACTGAACTGTAGCCATTGGATTGGAGAAGTTTATCAGCGACTCAGAGGAACCATAAAACGTTTGATCACACCGGGGTCTGTGCTTTTTGTCATTCTTCTCAATTTTCTCTCTTCCAAAACGATGAACATTAATCCAGTTGTACAGCGAACCACCGGGAAGAACATCCCCGCTGGGGCTTGGGCAGTAAGTATCCTGCGAGTGGCTACAGAACCTTCAGCCCAGATGTTCGTCCACAGGAGCTGGAGACTAGGGGTAAGGAGGCTTGGAGAGACAGTGGAGAGGGGCGCAGGGCGAGCTGGAATGTGGCTGCTCCTCAGGGAGAGCTACGTCAGGACTGAAAACGAGAAATAAGCTGGTCAGCAGGAAATGCACTGAGGGGCCAGGCAGACCATGAGGGTCAGATCAATTGCTTTCACATACATTTTAAAAACATGATCAGAAATTTTGCACAGAAAATAGTTTAAATTCAAAAACATGACAAGTCACCTGTGGCTTTCAAAACAAGGCAATAATAATAATAATAATAATAATAATAATAATAATAGAAAAGGGGGGGGAGAAACCATGTTAGGGAAATTGCATGTGAACTCTGGCCCCAAAGTCACTTCTTTTCAACTTCAGTATGCATACAAATTGCCTAGCAATTTTGGTAGATTCTGATTTAGTAGATCTGGGTAGGACCTGAGATTCTGCATTTCTTATAAGTGCCTGCTCCAGTAATTTGGTTGGTTTGTTTTTGCAATACAGGGATTGAACCCAGGGGTGCTCTATCACAAAGCTACATTACTGGCCCTATTTATTCATTTGGGACAGGGTCTCACTAAGTTGCCCAGGCTGAACTCAACCTTGTGATCCTCCTGTCTTAGCCTCCCAAGTTGCTGGCCTGGCTCTCTCTACTGATTTAGGTGGTGCTGGATGTTGGACCAACGCCTTAAGAGTTGAGAGGATTCTATTGTTCTCTGGCCAATCTGGATTCAATGGGAAAATTAATTGACCCGTGGAAGGCCAGTTCACCAGGAGTTCCCCCACCTGCTTTAGCATAGTGATGCAAAAACAAAAAACGGAAGAGTTTTATGACATTTTCCATTCGTTAAGTAAATGATGGAGATACACTATCACCTCTGAGAGCTTCCAATTTAAATAATTCAGGCTCATCAAGGTCTTGAGTAATCTTGAAGAATGAGGAAGTAAAATAACTGAATTGCCTAGATAAAACCTAAAACGTATTTGGGTTCAGATCTTTTAAAATGTGGCTAGCAGTGGGGAAAGGGCATTGTGGGGATTTTTCCCTTCTTTATTTTTTGTTGAGGGTTATTGCTGTGTTGCCCAGGCTGGTCTTGTACTCCTGGGCTCAAGCAGTCCTCCTGTCTCAGTATCGCAAGTAGCTGGAATTATAGGCACACACCACAAAATCCAGCCAAGATGGATATTTTTCTAAAACTACTATTTCCCCATATATAACGAAATTCAGTACCATACAATTCACTCCTGTATCAGAAATGTTTGAGAGAACTATTCAAGGCTTGTTATTATTATTATTTATTAATTTAAATGCTTTTTTTTAAAAAAAAAACAGGATTAATCCTTTATTTTATTTATTTATTTTTATATAGTGCTGAGGATGGAACCCAGTACCTCACACATGCTAGGCAAGCACTCAACCATTAAGCCACAACCCCAGCCCTAACTTAAATACTTTTTAAAGCTAATATCATTGAAATAATTAAAATTAGTATTAAATAAATACATTCTAAACTTTGGTACTGAAATTATCATTCAACTATATCTATCTTAAATTTTAATACAAAATCATAATTACACAAAATTTCTAGTCTGCTTGAAGTTACCTTTACTTCCTAAGCTCTTTGCACTTGTACATTTAGTTTAAAAGAAGATTCATGTTCTGTGCTGGTTAGAACCAATGGTAAAAGTTATTACCCTACATATTTTAAAAATGTGTGGTAGGTAAATACAGGAGAACTGGAACATCATCAAAAGAACTGAGTGTATGGTATTATTTATCAATTAAAAAATATTTTAAAAGGAAGAAAATCGTTCATGGCAAGATTGACATTCTCAGAGGGTCAGTCAGATGGTTGGGAAACAGCAGGTTACTGCTAAATCAAACAGATTTTCCCACAGACCTAGCGGTTTCTTTCTGTAAATCTGCAAATCTGCATGAGTTAGGACTGATTCCTTTTGAGGGAATTAATATGTTATGCAATGTAAATTATAGCAAGCAATGCAGTCACATTGTGCAAGAAGGATGCATTTTTGAAGACTTGTGTAATTCAATACTCTCTTTGATAAAGGAGGGCAAGTATTTCTGCAAGGCTGGCTGTCCTGTGTGGCAGTACATTGAGTGTAGGTTACAGTTCACTTGGCCCTGCACCCTGACATAATATCATTCGTGATGACTTAAGATTATTTTCATTATTTCAGACTTTTTACATAAAGCAAGAGTTAAAAACAACTTAATAATATTACAAGTTTGCATGAAATCCACTCTTACTGCATATTATGTATAATAGCCTTTAAGGAACACACTATTGGTTTCCAGCCTAAGAAATTATTCTTTAAAAACATTTTTTATTGGTTCTTTTTAGTTATACATGACAGTAGAATCCATTTCAACATAATTATACAAGTATGGACTATATCTTGTTCTTATTCAGACCCCAGTACCTCTCCTTCCCMTTCTCTCCCCACCTGCAGCTCCCTTCCCTCCACTGGTCTTGAAGATCATGTTGTAAATAGTAAACTTAGAAACTATTACTGTGTCATAAAGGTGGATATTATCTTCGGAAAGCTTTTTTTCTTTTTCCTTTTCCAAGAAAAATAACTATTTGAAAGAAGTAGAGATGGTCTGAATACCAAACACCTCTATATATTTAAACAGTAAATGTATAAAGTGACAGAAGTAAAAAAAATTTTTTTAATATTTGTTTTTAGTTGCAGATGGGCACAATATTTTTTATCTTATTTAAGATAACATGTGTGAGGCAAACTTTCTACCACCAAACTACAACCCCAGCCTCCCGCAATTTTTTTCAAAATGAGAAACAGAGAACATCTAATCAGAAATCATTCAACATTTGTAACAAATTTTCTCATTGTCTCATTAAACAAACGTCTCTTTTGAAAAAAGAGTCTATGTGGATAATAAAATACTCTTGCTCCTCCTACTGTAAGTAAAGTGAGGGAGGGGTCCTGTCCTCTGCAGAGCAGTGTCTACAGTCAGGGCAGTAGGATGGGCTTTGGATCACTGGGCTCAGTTGTGTTCGGGATGTATGACTCTGGACAAGTCATCTGACACACTCTGACCTCAATTTCCTCATTTAAAAATGGGAATGATAGCTGTGCTTACCTTACAAGTGAGGTGTAATGATTAATACTTGTGAAGAACTTAACCCTTGTCTGGAATGCAATATGAAATCTAATGTTGGCTGTGTGTTAACCTTTTCTGTGAGGAAGGAGTGGAAGGGGAGTGAAGGCTTTAACTTCCATCCAGTTAGCAGTGGGTGCGGGCAGGAAGGGAGCCAGTCACAATCTCGAAACTCTGCAAACAAGTCAGTCTTTTCCAGTCCATAGATGTTTAATCATCTCTCTTTCTTTTTTGTCAGGACCAGGGATTGAACCCAAGGCTCTGCCACTAAACTATATCCCCAGCCCTTTTTATTATTTATTTTGGGGAAGTCTTGCTAAATGGCTGAGGCTGGCCTGGAACTTGTGACCCTTTTGCCTCAGCCTCCCAAGTGCCTGGGATTCCAGGAATACACCACACTTTCAATCATTTCTCTGTGTAAACCACAGTGAGGAATGGAGGAAGCCCAGTCTGGACCATGCCGTATTCATGTGGGCAGAAACTGAAACATTTGTAATTCATTAAATTTTTCCTTTTTTTTTCCCAAGAAAATCATCCCAATGGAGCTAGCAAATACCCTACATTCAGTAATCTCAAAAGAAATGGAACTGGGTCACAGAACCATTTATTCAAACCCGTTCTCCAAAAAAAAAAAAAAAAAAAGTAAAATAAAATTAGAGTTAAAAACATTTCCTCCCAACCCTTCTGTTTCCTATCTCATTGAAACACTTAAAACAATACGCTTCCCTACTCTGTGTCCAAGCGAATTAGACAGGCTATGAAAGGGACTGCAGATCTTTTTCTTGAGGGTGAGTTAGGTACAAAGTTAGTATTGATAATAAAGATTGAGTGGAAACAACATGCCAAATCTTGCTAAATTTCCCCAATATCTATTCTTCCTCACTTTATGAAGATATAGAATCTGAGTTGAAGAAGAAACTTCCAAGATTTGGTGTTAGAGATGGGATTCAAACCCAGGCTACCTAGTCTAGAGCTCATTCACTCATTCATATGATCAATATTTACTGAACATCTGTTATGTGTCTAGCAGTGTCCAGAGTTGAGAGTGGAGGCTGGACTGTAGAATCCCACTGGGATGGATTGGAACATTCATACTTATATTTAATTACTTACATAATGCAAATTACTCTAGTGTTGACTGCTTATATTAAATGGCATTAGTATATTAGCAAAGAACCTAACAACAACAACAACATAAAGCTCTATTGCTGGAACTTGTGGAATAGCTGAGCAGGAGATATCAACTGAAAGACCCTGGATAATGACTCTTTAATAATACCCCGATCTCTAACTCTAGGTTCCACTTATACAGCTGGCAGTGCAACTGTCTCAGAGCCCACACCATATTTGGGCTTTGGCTGCTACTGTTTGTCTTTGTAGCTGCCCAGCTCCCCCAAGATGTGACCTTGCCAGTGATATCTATTCCTCAGACATGCATGGAGATGTGTTTGGGCCAGCCTCTAATCAAAAGAAGCCTTCCCCTGGCAGAAGAGCAACAGATACATTAAAACACACCAATCAGCAGACCATAAAGACACAGCCAGACTACAAAAGCTTGACCCAACAAGGCCAGGTAGGTAACTGGAGATGAAGTATTCCATGGAGATGAGGCGGTCCTGGCGGACACTGTGATACTGTGTGCAAGTCCACCCTGGGGGGAGGTCAACTTGTGACTGATATGGAAAGCTTTCATCTGGAATAGGAACTGTCAGCAAACTCTCCAGTTCAGTGTCCAGGGAGTGTGCAAACTTGCCTTTAAATTTCTTCAGTTAATCTCATGTAAAGGGACTCTCACCATAGATACCCTTTTTTGAATGTCGATTATAAGGTTTTTCAACAGCTTTCAAACTCAGTTTTGATGAGAGCACTGAGCAGACAGAAAATAGAAACACTTTTTATAAAGCTGTCCTGGAATAGACATTAGACATATTTCATATCTAGTTTCTGTATTCTTCCTGTTGATTTGCCTGAGAAATGCATTTGAAGGACAAAAGATAAGCAGAAGAAAAAGTAGGACAAACATTCTAACAGTTCCAGGTTTTATATTTTGGAAAGCATTGAAACTACTAATTCAAATACTTGAAATACTAATCCAAGTATTTATTTAGGGAGCTGAAGGCAGCCTTCAGTCTCCCAGCTAGTGGCTGGTGACACACATGCAAGCTCTCTTGCATTCTTGTTGGGAGCATATGGACTTCAGGTATGCAAACCGTATTCATGTAGCCCATATATGAAATAATTCATAGCAAAATATAATTATGTATAGGTAGTTATGGAATTGGGAAGGGGAGTTGAGGGGACATCTAGGGATCTGACATGCAGCTGGGTGGGAAGATAAAGGACGTGTGAATTTACCTGACAGTTGGGCAGTCTTGCCTCCCGGCTAGTTGTGAGCACTGTGGCGGTACGGAGGCAGCAGGCTGCTGACAATCTACAAGAAACTGATAAATTAGACATGTATACAAAGAGATGACAGAGCAAGGTGTTAGTAACAGTAACTAAAGCAGCTGCCTGAGATTTAGTGAGGAATGTGCATTCACACAGAAACAGCTTGATTAAGCAGGTTTTTTCCTGAATGATGCCAATAGAGAAGACATACTTTTTTTTTTAATCAAATACAGTATTAAAAAATTAGTGACAAAATTAGTAGCAAGACTTTTCAAGTACATTAGGACACATGCAGTCATTCATATTTGGTATTTTGCTACCTCTAAAAAGGAAGGAGCTATTAATAAAAGATCTTCAAGTTTTGAACGTGAATGTGATGGTGGTTACTTGCGTAGTACACAAATCTGCTATTCTAAAATGGAATGTATTGAGATAACTGAGCATATTGTCAGGACATGTGGACATATTGTCAATCCTACAGGTACATGGAGAAAGGCATGTAATAAAACCCTTTCCATAATTAACAGAAGGATGTTGGATAAGAAAATCATCCTTAGTTTCCTGAAGATTGATTTTTATATATTGAAAATGAGAATTGTTAGCAGAAATCTTCCTGTTTATTGTATAGCAAATTGTTAGTAACTTGGGCTTATGAAGAAAGCTAAATTGAATTAAGGGGAACTCCATTCTTTGTTTTGTTTTTATCAATTTTTTTTAAGAGAGAGAGAGAAAGAGAGAGAGAGAGAATTTTAATATTTTATTTTTTAGTTTTCGGCAGACACAACATCTTTCTTTGTATGTGGTGCTGAGGATTGAACCTGGGCCGCACGCATGCCAGGCAAGCGCGCTACCGCTTGAGCCACATCCCCAGGCCCTTGTTTTTATCATTTTGAAGCCATATAATATGACTCAAACTAGGTTAACAAAGTGATAGCTAGTAGAGTCCATGTTATAGCCAATCCACTTCAAGGAAGACTATGTGCCTGGTGTTTAAAAAATCAAAAATCAGTCTGTACTAGAATCACCCAAGAATCTAGTTAGAAATTCATACATTATATTTATGCAAAAATACTTTTGCACATAATTTAAAATTGGAGTTAGACTTAAAAACTGTTCTTGAAAATTTGAAGCACTTTCTCTTGGTAACTGATTCAGTTATGTATTTGTTTTGCAAACTGCTTCCTCGATATTTACGTAGATAACATTTAAGTCCAATTAACACAAATTCTGGATTTACTGTCTTGAATGAATGACATGTATATTTAAAAATGTGTACCTAAGTATCACTTTTTCTAAAGCCAGTATATTCTCTACATAGCTAAGGAATATCCAAAATCATGATAATTGTTGATGCTTTTATGAAAGACTTTGGAAATACACTGAAACTGTGCCACACAGAGTACAGTATAAGGTAGTCTTGACTTTAGTTCATTTAAGAGAACATTATTACTGAAGGGACCCTATTAAATGGTGGCCTGGGTTGCAGAGTAACATATTAATTATTGCTTATAAAATGATCAAGGAAACCTGATTTTGTTGAGTGACTAGTGTTCAGATTATTATGTCAGTAAAAATCTTTCAAAAATTACAAATTTATTTTCTCATATTTGAGGAAATATTTTTCTTTCATTTTGTTTACCCATGTTTCACCTTAATTAGCTTCAATGATTCCCTTTTGTAGAAACTCAGAGTCTTAGGAATACATTCCTTTTTTTAAAAAAATCTTTGCTCCTTTTGTCTTTTCTAATAGCTTTTCTATCTGGCTTGCAATTTAGGCACATCTTGGACTAATTTAGTCACTTTTTTTTTTTTTTGGTTGGTTGGTTTGATATTTTTGAGAGTGTTTTTCTATGTTGCCTAGGATAGTCTCAAATTCCTGGACTCAAGCAATTATCCTGCCTCATACTCCCAAGTGCTGGGACATAGGATGCACCACCATACCTGGCTTAGACAGCTACTGTACTTGAGGACAGGTCTGTGCACTTTTGAAGTTAACCAGGTGTGTGTTGCCCTCCTGTGGTATATTTGGGTAAATGCAATGGATGTAAAGACAAAATCACTCTGGAATCCCTGTTTAAATATTGGGAGGGAGATATAAACAAAGTTGTTCTAAAGCAGAGTACTATCTCTGTGGAATGACAATACTAGAATTGATTGGAGTATTAAAATGTTAAATATTTCATATCTTACATTTATTAGAAATACTTTTTTTTTTTTGCAATAAGTCATGTATTGTTATTCATTCCAAATATACTTTGTGATAAAGTTTAGAAGGAAGGTAATCAGGACCACAATGCTCTCCCCTAGTGGACTGTTTTAATACGTGGTAGTTATTCTTTACATTTGTAGTAAACATCATTTTTCCTTCTTTAGAAGTAACACATCTGGCTAATTATTATTTTACATTTATTATTTATGAGGACTTCGCTGAGTGCTAGCCTTAGAAAGTAAAAGTCAAATTCCACAGATAAGTTGATGACAGATGAAAAAATTTTAAAGTTATCTACAATGATGTGACTCAATAGTCTTCTAAATCTCTGGTCTAAGGACCTCCAGCTGGGCTCACATCTAGCCCACCTGAGCTCAGCTCTGTCTCAACGTGTACTGTGTAAGACGAAGAGGGCAGGCTGGAAGAGGGAGACAGTCCCTTCTAGCTGAGATCCTGTGGGCTCCCCACGACCTTCCCTGCTTTGAGGAGGACCTCCTTTTGCAGGCTTGAGAAGGAACTAGGCTGATTTTATGCCTTTGAGGGCATAAAAGATGACAATGATGTGGCTTATGCAGCAGGCACTGCGGATCCCCCTGCAACCACCGCTGTTGTTTGGCCACCAGGATTGTCTCAACCGTTCAACAGTCAAGTCACTTAGCTCCAAGTATGTGTCAGAAACTGTGTTAGGCAGTGGGAACAAAAGGCAAACAGAGAAGCTACAGTCGCTGCTTGATGGAGGAAGACAAACATATTCCATGAGCGATCACAGTAAGTGAAATGGTGGTGATGGTGATGGTGATGATGGTAACAGCATCCCGCACTTATTCATGGCTTTGCCATGTGTCAGGCACTGTGCAGGCACTTAATATGCACATTCTCCTTGAACCCTGTTTTATTCATTCAATTTGCAGATGAGGAAAGGGAGACTTAAGCAACTTGGCAAATCCACTAAGAGGTGGGGAAAAGGCTTTGAATGTGTGATTATATGATCCAAAGGCTGAGCTGAACCTGTAGCTCCCATGATGGCAGCAGCATGGGGTATTATAGAGACTAACTTTACCTAAATTAAATCAGATTTAATCTAACCAACTAAACGAAATCAGTTTTTGTTTGGTTTGGTACCAGGGATTGAACCCAGGGGTGCTTTATCACTGAGACACATCCCCAGCCCCTTTTATATTTTATTTAGAGGCAGGGTCTAACTGAGTTGCTTGGGGTCTCACTAAATTGCTGGGCCTGGCTTTGAATTTAGGATCCTCCTTCCTCAGCCTCCAGAGCCTCTGGGATTAGAGGCACATGCCACCATGCCTAGCACTAACTGAACTGAATCTAAGTGGTCAGGGAATGCTTCCTGCAGATGTGACATCTGAACTGATACCTAACAGATACTTGACAGCAACCACACGCTGTTTATGGTCACTTCATTATAAAATTAGTGTTTACTAGAACTGAAATGGATAACATTGTAAGTTATCACTCAGACCTGAGAAAAATCACAGTATATTTTAAAGAGATTGTGATTCCAGGATAACTATTATACAGGGTGAATAAGAAAAGTTAAAGGGAAAAGCATCTAGATCTTGATAAGCACAGGAAGAGTATTCTCATGTGACATTCCTCATAAACAAAAGACTCAAGTAGGAAGGAAGGCAGAAAAGAGATATGTCTCTCAGTGAGAGTGCACTTAGCCTGAGGGAAGCCCTGGGATCATCCCCTGGACCGGAAAAAAGAGATAGAAAGAGAAAACAAGGGAGGAAGGAAAATATTTGCCGAGTCAACTGTTGTAATCTTTCCTACAAACTTTACATTAGTCATCTGTTTTAAGTCTTAGCAAAATCTGGAGTTTTCATTTTCACTATTCCCATAATGAGGGAAATATTTTCTACGTATGTATATTGCGTCCGTTTTTTTCTTATTTATTTACTGGTACTGGAGATTGAACACAGGGGTGCTTTATCGCTGGGCTACATCCCCAGTCCTTTTTATTTTATTATGAGACTTTATTTGAGGCCTAGGCTGGCCTCAAACTTGCAATCCTTCTATCTCAACACCTCCCGAGTAGTTAGAATTATAGGCGTGTGTCACTATGCCCAGCTATTTTCTTTTTCCTTTAACATTTTCATTTTTCTTCATCTCTTCCACCAGAAACAAGCCCAGAGTTTGGCATCACAGTAGGTGGTCTGAAAATTTCCACTGATTAAATTAATCACTAACCACTCTGTGTATTCAGGGTCACATAGCCAGGAAGTAGCATACTGAGAATTTAAATTTAGACTCTTTTTTATTTATTTATTTATTTTTTGGGTACTGGGGATTGAACCCAGAAGTGCTTTACCACTGAGTTACATCCCTATCCTTTTTTTTTTTTTTTTTTTTAATGAGACAGGGTCTCACTAAATTGCTGAGGCTGGCCTCTTATTTGTGATCCTTCTGCCTCAGCCTCCAGAGTAGCTGTATGCACTGCCATGCATGACAAATTTAGACTTTTTAATGCTACAGACTATTTTTCATTCACTACTCTTCTTGCTTCTCAACTCATTGTCAGCTACTTCCAGAAAATATCATGTTCTAGAATCAAAGAAATGTAAGAACTTCCCCAGTTAAGAAACTGATTTGCAGGCAATCAAATACCTCAAAATGCAAAGCAAGATGTAGTGTACAGGAATGATACCTATTTTTTTGAAAAGATGTGGGGAAAAATAACAAATTTCGCTGGCAGACAGAAAAAGTCTTGCCACGTAGCTTTCTCTTAGGCTTCTACTATTTTTTAAACATTCCAGTGCAGTTTAGAAAATGACTGGCCATTTGGATGAAGGGAGAGCCTCATGTGGAAG